AGAGCTGTTTCAGTAGAATGAGCTCAATGAAAACCTGACTTGAAACTATCATAGATGTTATGTTCCTCACTGGTCGTTCTTATTTATTCTACAGCACAGGTGGCAAACTCAGGCCCTCGGGCCAAATTTGGCCCGCGGTCTTTTTTTTTTTTGGCCCACGAGATCAAATATCAAATGTATAGTAAAACTGGCCCATTTTACCATAGTGCTTTGCGGCATTATCGCATCAGTGAAAGTGCCTCCTCCTTTCTGTTTAGTCATTAGCATCCATGCTACTAGAATCGGCGTCTGAAGCGACACCCTCCTCTGTCTCAAACAAACTGAAAATACAACTCTAAGCGCCGAGTTTACTCAGCGATTTGCCGACTTTGAAGCTCAGTAGTCCGTCCGCGACTGACACGAAAAGCTCACCAACCAGCTTCCAGACGGAGCTGATTGAACTCCAGTTTAGCGACACGATCAAGTCAGAGTATGACTATATGGCTGCTGCAGTTTTAATCTCTCCTCCCCGACACACCGACCCAACTCCAGCCTTAGCTGCTCATATGCTCTCCATGTTCAGCAGCACTTATCTATGTGAACAACTGTTGTCTGTGATGAAGATGAACAAAACAACACAAGAGTCTTGCTGATGAACTCCTTCCTCAGCTCAGAGCCCAACCCCAGAGATGCAGGCGACTGGCTGGAACGGGTGAGCATCACAGTAAATCAGAGTGGAGCAAACTGAGCTTGAATTATTTTGTTTTCATGCACCTTTTCTGCTCCAGAGCATGAAAGTTAATAGATGAGATGTTTGCTATTTTTTGTTAAAAAAAGGATTGAACCAACTCTAAATGGGAACTGGAAAGGCTACAGATAAAAGAATAGATTAGAAATAGAATAAAAAATCCCTTTATTGTCCCTCAGTGGGGAAACGCTGGTGTCGCAGCAGCAACGACTTTATTCTATTTGCAGATGACACTACCTTTTATTATGCAGGAGATAATATCAAACAGATGGTAGAAACAGTACAAACTGAGATGAAAAAAATAAAATTATGGCTTGATGGGAAGAAACTCTCATTAAACACTGATAAATCATGTTTCATGATATTTAGTAAAAGTAACTCAAATGATACAAGTCTGTTAAATATAGATGATAATAATATTACAAGAGTAAACAAAGTAAAATTTTTGGGAGTTATAATCGATGATGGTGTATCTTGGAAGCCACATGTAAACAATGTGAAAACTAAAATAGCTAAAACAATTGCAACGTTACATAGAGTAAAATGGTCACTGGATGATAACTCCCTATATTTATTATATAATTCACTTATTGCACCATATTTGAACTATTTTATAGAAATCTGGGGTATAACATATAAAACTTATACAAATTCTATCTATATTGCAAAAAAAAAGAAATAAGAATCTTTACAAGGAGTAATTAGAGATCCATCTAGCCTGTTATTTATGAAAACAAAAACATTAAAATTCTATGACCTAGTGGACTACAATATTTCTAAATATAATGCAAACAAAAATACCCTTCCTAAAAATTTACTTGGAAGATTTATAAAAAGACAGAGTAAATATGAACTAAAAGGACATGAATTATTTACAATACCTAAGCATGGAATAATTATAAAGGAGCGCTGTGTCTCTATATATGGAGTTAAAATATGGAATAAGCTAGGTAATGTAATCAAGGATGCAAAAACAATATTTACTTTCAATAAACTAATTAAAAATTAAATACTGGAATCATATACATGCAAATCAATTATATAAAAATAAATAATTAATAAAGCTATAGAGATGTATGTAGGTTTATTCATGTGTGTATGTATAAATATGTGTGTATGTCTATATGGATATGTATAGATGAAGTATGTGCGAGCATATGGGCATGCGATGCACTTTAATGTACATATGTGCAAAAATCCTTTTGCTTTTTGAATTGTTACCATTACTATTAATTTTCTCTTCTTTACAAATTGAACTCAAGTCAGCTAACCAGTCGAGCAATTACTTTGTATAGGCTAATTTATAATTATTGTTATTTCATTGTAAAAATGTCATTTTAGTTTAAAAGGGGCAGATAACCCAAGTTTTCTTTTTTCTGTTCCCTTTTCATTTTCTTGGTTTGAGAAACCTCAATTTATTTGTTAGCATTGTTTTTTTTCTATTTTAATAATAAATGAAATAAAATTAAAAAAATAAAAATAAAAGACTTTGATTACAGGAGCAGAGGAGGAGAGTAAACAATAAGAATAACGAGTAAACAACAAGAGAACTGAAAAACTTTCAAAAGGTAGAAAATTCTAAATTGCTGAATATGTTAAGGAATAAAGAGTAAAAGAATAAAAAGACCTAAGTAACGACTGATGTGTGTAATCATACCAGATTCTGTTTAACAACACGTATCTGTAGATAAAGCTAAATGTGCACATTTGCCGTCACTTTTCAAGAAATGTAGAGCGACTTCGGCCCAGTTTTTCTTCGGCCCAGTGTGAATTTGAGTTTGACGCCCTTGTTCTACAGTTTCTGATCCAAGACAAACTATTCATCAGATTTTGTAATTTGAAAATCTAGATAAATCTCAAAGTGCATCAGAAAATGTAACCAAATTAAACAAAATGTTTTCACCAGAACACTGAAACGGCAATAAAGAAAAAGCTCCTCACGGAATTCCTAACCTCCAGAGATTAAAGTAAGATCATCTAATATTGACATGGTTACAGTCATCCATCCATCCATCCATCCATCCATCCATCCATCCATCCATCCATCCATCCATCCATCCATCCATCCATCCATCCATCCATCCATCCATCCATCCATCCATCCATCCATCCATCCATCCATCCATCCATCCATCCATCCATCCATCCATCCATCCATCCATCCATCCATCCATCCATCCATCCATCCATCCATCCATCCATCCATCCATCCATCCATCCATCCATCCATCCATCCATCCATCCATCCATCCATCCATCCATCCATCCATCCATCCATCCGTGGTCGGGTCACGGGGCACCCTCTCTCCAGCCACTTGGGCCAGCTTCTCCAGGGGAATCCCAAAGTGTTCTCTGACCAGCTGAGAGACATTGTCCCTCCAGCTTCTCCAGGGTCTCCCTTTAGGTCTCCTTCCATGAACGTGCTAGAAAAACCTCAACTGAGAGCCATCCTAACTAGATGCCCGAGCCACCTCAACTGGCTTCTCTCGATGTGGAGGAGCAGCGGGTCTACTCCGAGCCCCTCCCGAATGACCAAGCTTCTCACCCTATCTCTAAGGGAGAGCCCAGACCCCGTATGGAGAAAACAAATTTCCGCTGCTTGTACCCGCGATCTTGTTCTTTTGGTCACTACCCAAAGCTCGTGACCATAGGTGAGGGTAGGAACGTAGATCAACTGGTAAATCGAGAGCTTCACCTCCCGATCCCTCTTTCCCTCACTCGTAAACAAGATACTTAGGCTCCTCCACTAGGTGCAGGGCCTCATCCCTCACCCGAAGAAGGCTTTCTACCCTTTAGAGGATTTAGAGGAGCTGATTCTCTACCCAGCTGCTTCCCACTCAGCTGTGAACCGCTCCAGCAAAAGCAGGAGATCGCGTTCTGATGAAGCCAACAGGACCACATCATCTACAAAAAGCAGAGACTCGATCTTCAGCCATTTGGGTCAAATCTTGAAAAACTAACATAAACTGTATTTTTCTTCTCTCTCTCTCTCTCTCTCTCTCTCTCTCTCTCTCTCTCTCTCTCTCTCTCTCTCTCTCTCTCTCTCTCTCTCTCTCTCTCTCTCTCTCTCTCTCTCTCTCTCTCTCTCTCTCTCTCTCTCTCTCTCTCTCTCTCTCATGAATTTGTTTTTTAAGACCATTGATTTAATTTCAATTGTAAACGTTTGATTTCTTAATTTTCACGTGTTAGACTCGGTGACCTCAGCGAGACCTCCGTGTTAAACACTTTTAATTTTTGCTCCAAAACAATAACATTTAAAAATGCTGCTTTTAGATGTTTTATTTTTCCAAACTGCCGGCTCAGCCTGCAGAGACTTCGAATCCAATTCATTTAGTCTGGCTGACACATATTCACTTTTTGTCCTTGAACTTATTGCTTGATTAGCATTTTCTTCAAGCTAAATCCCTTTATTTTCCTTTTATTTATCTTTATGCAATTGATTTTAGTTTATTCAGCATTCATTATGGCTTTTGAATCAACATTTTCTCTTAATATGGTCATTGATTACATTTCAACTAGCAAAAGTTGCTGCAAAAACAAAGTTTTATTGAAGAATATTTGAATCTTTTTTTGTTTCCAGACTCGAGAGAATTGTTGCAACATAATGATGCAGCACATCACCTGAAGTCTAGAGACATGCAGCTCTTTGTGCTGCATTCAAGCTCTTAAAGCTATTAAATCCTCGTTTTCTGTGTCTACATTTAAATAAAAGAAGTTTCTCCTCAAGCTTAAAGACCGATTGTTCTCTTAAACATTTAAAGCACAAATAGAGCAGAGAGGATCTGGTCAGGGTCACCCTTCATGGCTCCTTGGGTGGAGAATCTGGATCTCATAAGCTGCAGAGCCAATAAATCCAGGTCAGTAATTAGACTGATGGTCTGGAACCTTAAAGGTCACTGCTTGAGTTGTCTCAACATTCCCAATCTGAGCAGGAAACCCCAGAGGATGCAGACAGAAGCTGCTTTATTATGAACCAGATCCAGAAACGCTTTTTTCATGTTTTAGTTTTAGTGTTCATGTCATCTCATCCAAGCCCAGAGCCCTTTGGGACAGGCGCAGCTGAGGGGAGCTTGGTCTTTATTCAGTCTTCAGGTTTGCACCGCTGAACAGGTGTTTCGTTTATCTGGAAATGACGCAAATTATTTTGTTTAAAACTTCAGTGCTAAATAGCGTCAGCTGTTCCTGTCCCTTAGGTTGTAGAAGGGGCGCGTGCAGAGATAATGCAGTCAAACTCTCAAACTGATGACTGGAATAAAAACAGCAGCTCGCTCACCCAGACACGCGTTAATGAAGCCGTACCAGACGCACCCAGCGCGTCCGATCAGCCAGCGCCCCTGCGTGCTGGCCGCGAAGCTGAACGGGGTCCCGAGCACGCTGACCAGCAGGTCGCTCGCAGAGATGCTCACCAGCAGCAGGTTCATGGGCGTGCGCAGAGCTCTGTACCGGCAGAACAGCGCGAGCACCACGAAGTTGGTGATGAATCCGAGGGTGCCGATGACGCCGAGGCACACCGCGACCACCAGGTGTCCCGTCGGGCTCAGGGACAGAGGGGGGAGCGATCCGGACACCCCCTGTCCATGACAGCGCGCGCAGCTCAGGCTGACGTTCGATACGATCATGCCGGGCTGAGCCGCGAAGTTTGGACCAGCGGGAAAGAAGTTTGCACCACGGGACGGAACCATCCGATTTCGGTGCTTTCCTTTCGGTCAGCTCATCTGGAGAGGTGACCCGAGTGGAGACGGGAGGTTGTCCAGTCGGTGGATGCATCAGAACTCGGGAGAAGAGATGCAGGTGTCATAGATCCGCCCCCTCACCTCCCCTCTTCTCCGCCCCTCTACCGCGCGCGCTCTGGTCCTTTACCGCCGTGCGCACGATGCGCACAAGGAGCGCAGAACTCACTGGAGGCGGAGGAGCTACAGTGGCAACATGCACAGTTGGTTGCTTTTGTTTGTTTTATGAGAACAACAACAACAAAAGACAACGTGAAACTGCGCTGTTTTTTCCGGATTTAATAAATAAAATGAAACAAAAAAAATCAGCTTTGCAAATATTTTAAGGCAAGAAAGTTCAGACGATATTAAATCTCAATTATCTGGCTTTTTAATATGTATAATTTTATATTAAATCCTCGCGACTGCAACTGTTTATATTGAGACTTTTTTTAATTAAAATTAAAACAAGAATATGACTTTTGAAGTTTTTTAAATGATCACGCAAAGTGTAAAACTTTCAAACCTACAAGATTCTAAGTCATACTTTTTTTACTTAAATTTTTTCTTGTTACTTTTAAAATGAATACTTAAAATGTGAATTTTATATTTCTATCCAGTGTTGTAGAAACCAGTCAGCTTCTGGATAAAATAAAAAACAATTCTTATTGTCTTGGTGAGCAGAAATGGGTCAGAATGAATGGGGCCATGTTGCTGGTTGGTGCAAAACATTGTTTAAAATTACAAACATTGACTTGAAAAGAATAACTAGTTGTGGATGACACCATTAATATGGGTTAGATACATTTTTCAGCCAAAAAAAAGTCTGCACTTGGATTCATCTAAGCAAACAGGAGCCTCCTGTTGGATATTTACTTCATTTCTGCTGCAACAACTTATTTAACCCAACTTATACAACGAGCTGCTTCTCATTTCTTAAACAACCACGTGGAACAACACATCTGGTGGTCGTGGAGAAGATGGTGGTCTGTGTGAGAAGGGTCAGATCATGGCATGCATCAAGCAGATGGCAGAAATGATTAAAACTGGGTTAAGAACTGTCCGGCGCTTTATTATCAACTTGTCTGAGTCCAGATGGACCTTGTTCCAGATAGGGATGCACCGATACGATACTGGTGTCGGTATCGGTAAAAGTTAACCGATACCAGGAACCGATACCAATGCAGTTGCTTGAAAATGGCTCCACTGTAATTTGTCATTTCTGTTCACCTAATATTTTAGTTTTGTGACGATTTCCATTCATATATTTTACTTAATATATACCTAACAGTCTTTTCCTGTTGAAAGCAGAGAAGAAAATAAAATCTGTATTCCAAATCATTGCATTTTTGTGTGTGGTAGAAGTATCGGTATTGGTAATCGGTATCGGCGAGTACTCAGATCCAAGTATCGGTATCGTATCGGTTTGGAAAAAAGTGGTATTGTTGCATCCCTAGTTCCAGAGTGATGGTGCATCAGGGTAAGAAGCATATGCGTTACATAATTCAAATTATTAAGTGAAACTATTATGTCCAGATGTTGCAGAGAACATCCGAGGGCCGTCGTCTGTGTCTTCATGTTTGGAACTTTGATTTCTGTTTTGGGGGGTTGACAGGTTTTGTTGGAGGTGTGATCTTAAACGTTTGATCAGCTGTTTCACTTTAAGCATCGTTTTCAATAAAAATACTCCGAATGTTGAGTCTACTCCCAGTTCCTGTTGTATGTTGAAGCTCTTGGGCTTGCCACGTCTCTAAGTAAAAGCGTAATTCAACTGTAAGTTGTTGTAACTGAAACAAAACCAGCGGATCGTAGAAAATGTAATCTCCTGAGCAAAGACGTTGCTGTCAACATGTTGTCTTCTCATGACTACGCAGCCGTGCAACCAGGGAAATGCTCACCGCTCAGTATTAATATTAACACATCAAAATCCTCGGCGTTGATGATAAGACTTGAATAAATGAATATCAAGTTTACCTGTTAGAAGTTTTAAACATTTGAAAATAAATTTGCATAAATATCAATTCAATGTTACAAAAATGCAACAAATATTAATGTTCTGTGCCTGAAGCTAAAAAATAAAAACATTTCAAAGAATGTTTGAATTCTGGAACATTGGGGATTTTTTTTAAAGTAAAATATTTAAAAATATTCATTTTTTTGTAAAAAAAAAACACGTGAGAAAAGCATCAAAGCTGCAATTTGCCTCAAAGGAATCGGAGAGAAGCAACTTCACCCCCTGCAGCTCGATGTTCTAGCAAAGATGTTATGAAACAAGTCGCCATGTCTTCGTTCAGCTTTAATAGGAAGCTGTGCAAGGTTTAGCTTCATCGGTGTCTCTTCCACTAAAATGTAAAAGTAAATAATAGCTGAAGAAAACCAGAATAAACTCTGTTGTGCTGTTGTATTAGATGGTGCATCGATTAGTGCTGATCAGTAGAACGATGAAGAATCCAGTGGCGTCATTCCCACTGACTCGGGGTTTCCCAGTTAGCTGAGAAGCAACAGATGTTCATGCAGGAAATTAGATAAATTTAGATCTCTTTCATTCAGGCAGAAAGTCAACGTGACACCGACTTTCTCTGCAACACAAACAAAAACTCAATCTATCAAAGTTTGAGCGTTTGTGAGCAGTTTGTAACGAAATGAAAACGTACAGTTTTCCTGCACGGTCCTAGCCTGACGAGCCTCCTCTCTGGCCTCGAGCCGTTGAAACAACCCAAGTGGAAGTTGTCTTTCTGTCTAAGCACACTATTGGACAGTGCTAGGACCAATCAGAGCAGATATCTGTCAACGGAGCAGTCCACCATGCAGCATCGATGAAGCTGAAGCGCATGCATCCTTTTTCAAAATAAAGGACTTAAATACCTCTGTGGTCATATCTCAAAGAAAGGCTCAAGTCTAAATAGTCCAAAGTTGATGCCAAAGCGGTTTAAAACGAGCAGATTCACTGAGCCACTGCCATCTTTGTAGTTTTTCTCTCACAGCTCTGGTGTTACGCCCACCAAATGTAGTGCTGTGATTGGTACGACAGAAAAGTGTTCGGGCCAATGGTAGACCTGCTGAGTCACAATGGAGCGTGGCTAGACTGGCACGTGCAGCTATTTTGCTACTTCTACGGTTCGTCTAGGTTTCTAGGCTAGCATTTCCATGACCTTAGTGACATTATTTACAACTTCATTGCACCAGTTTGGAAAACTTACTCCAGCATAAAGGAAGTCATGGTGGTGTTTTCCTGTCAATCTAGTCCAAACAGCCATATTTAGTATGACTAAACCCAGAAACCAGCTCAAAGGTTGCCCCCTAGTGGCTGACTCCAGTAAACATTTAAAGCCCCACCCCTTTCATTTAAAGTAAAACTGTCGAGTATAAATTATAAAATGTATGTGTCAATGTAGTTCTTCGATCCCAGCATGGGAATATTTTATTTTTGGACCGTTATCACCGGTTTCTGTATCTGTATGATTTCCATCCAACAAAAATATGTTTTGTTTCAGAGCTTTCACTTATAAATCATAATTCCTGTTTTTTTTCCCTTAGTTTTATGCTTTCCAGTCTATTATTTTATCACAAACCTCACTTCTTCTCTCCACTGACAATCTTATCTATTTTTAGCTGCCTGCTCCTGCCCACAGCAGCCTTGCAACCGCCCGCTCGTGTGAGATTTGAGATTAGTCCCGCGGGATCCCAGTCCCAATGCAGGGCTCTAATTCTTACCTTGCTTTTCACTATGATGGAAGACTTTCCTCATCAAGATGAAAATTATTCTTCTTTTCCACACCAGAAATTTAAAATCTGACCAGGAAAAACCCCAAATATGAGCCCAAATTATAAAGTGTATTTTATACTTATGAGTTGTCAGGATGGAGGGAGATGAAGGGATGCTCTTTGCTTTATTCCTCTGGTTCTTTGTGCTCCACCAGGAGCCACCAGGAATGACCACGTTGGGATAGACGTCAGTTTCCATTTATCCACATCATTACACACATCAAGCACTGTGGCCACAGACTCGGCGTTCCAGTCCACAGGACGACTCATCGACTTCTGGGAAGAGCTGCCATGTGATCGCTGAGGAGACAAACAGAAACAAAGTGCACCAGGGTCGCGGAAGAGCTGCAGCCTCTCGGATGCTTTATTTCTCCCCCTTTTTTTATTAGATTTTTGTTATTTTAATAACTTAAAAGGTGCAGTTATTATAAAAAAGAATAAGAGTAAATCAAAACTAAAACAAAATAAAAAATGATTGAATCTAGTCTATTAACAAATTTTGCTACATTGGGTTGTCAAGCATGAACTTCCTGTTTAAGGTCAAAGGTCACACGTTCTCCTTCAGGATTTTCTACTAGAAAGAATTCATGGTTCCAGCAGTCGTAGCAAGTGGTCCAGGTCCCGGACCATCACACTAGCCCCGCCATGCTTGGCTGTTTGTATGTTTTAGTGTTAAACGCCAGATGTTGTGGGACACAAACCTTCTAGAAAGTGCCGTGTTTGCCTGAAGTCGTTGGGACGATCGCGAGTGTTTTCTAGTTATTGTAAGCTGGGCCTTTGCTTTTGCAACAGTCAAGTCAAGTCAACTTTATTTATATAGCACTTTATAACAGCATAAAAGCTGACCAAAGTCCTTAACAAGACAAAACGAACAGAATTTCCTCAAAAAGTCTAAAAACAAGATAAAAAGTTCATCACAAGGTAAAATCATGATAAAACAAACATATCAAACTGACATAAAAGCTACTAAAAACAGATGCATTCTCAAACTGAATTAAAAGCAACTGAGAACAGATGAGTCTTTAAGAGTGATTTAAAACCCGACAGTGAGGAAACCATCCTAATCCTAATCGGGAGTGCGTTCCACAACCTTGGAGCTGCTACTGAGAAAGCTCTATCACCCCTGAGCTTTCTCTTTGTTCTCGGCACCTCCAGGAGAAACTGGTCGGCTGACCTCAGTGACCGAGACGGGGAGAGAGTTACTAAAAGCTCACACAGATACTGCGGAGCAAGGCCGTGTACAGCTCTAAAAGCCAATAAAAGAACCTTGTACTGGACCCTATAAACCACAGGCAGCCAGTGCAGCGAAGCTAAAATTGGGGTGATGTGCTCCCTCTTTCTCGAACCCGTCAATAGGCGTGCTGCTGCATTTTGCACCATTTGAAGACGGGACAGGTGAGACTGAGGAAGACCAAGGTACAGTGCGTTGCAATAGTCTAGACGTGATGTAATAAACGCGTGAATCACCGTCTCAAAGTCATGACTTGAGAGCAGACGCTTAACCTTGGCAATCCTCCTTAACTGATAAAAACTGTATTTGGTGACGGCACTGATTTGCTTTTCCAGAAATATTGCTTTATTTTTGAATTACTTAAGAAACCGACGTGACGTGTTGCTTTTTGAGATCATGTAGCCTGCGTCATGCTCTCTGACTGGAACAAATATGGCGGCCACATTTGTCGAGACGTAGAAGTCGGTATTCAAACTTTAAAGATCCTGTTGGCGTTTCTTTGTCTTGGACTCATTTTAGTTTTCAGCTATTTAAACAAATTTTATAACAAACATTCAGGACTTTCCATCTTGTCTTTTTACATTAAAATAATTTAGACTTTTTAAAGTATTCGGCTTTTCATAAATCAATGAAAACTCCTTGAAATTCTCCTAGTTGTGTCGATTCTTCTCCTCCTGCCTCCTCCTCCTCCATCTCCTTTCTTGATTTTCCTCCTCCTCCCTCATTCCTGCTCTCCTCCTTTTTCTGTCCCCTCTTTTCCCTTTTTCAGCAATAAAATCTTTTTCTTAAAATTAAAAACTGTTATGCTTACTTCCAAACTTCTCAGCTAACTACAACAAGCTTAATTTCACCCTTCGGCTAAGACTCAAACTTCAGACGTCCTGTTATTGTTGCCTGTGTTGCTCCCATGTTGGACAATAACGTTGTTTTAGGTTGTTTTTGTTTCTTCGTGGCTTATTTTTAAATTTCCTTTTTTCTTTTTGAGCTTCTGTTTTGAATTGGTGATTAATTGATTTTTGCAGCGAAACCTCAAACCTAAGAAATTCTCCTCTTCTAGTTCAATAAACTCTATTAGAGCATCGTTGTTGTTTAAGGCTTCGCTCGACTGAGTGTTGTGAGCAGAGTGGCATTCCTGGCCATCAGCGGGTCACAGGGATCCTCGTGTGGATAAGCAAATGGAGAAGGGCATCCGATTAAAGACCTAACAGCAAAGAAATAAAGGCTGGGGTGTCTCAGAGGATGTAGAGCAGAGCGCTTCACTCTGCTCCGCATGAAGGAGAGAACCAAACCTCGTGTGGAACATCAGCAAGATGCCAATCAATACCAGCCCTCGAGCCATTTCTCTTTATGTCTTTGCAATCTGAGGTTATTGAAGTGGGGACAGCATTGTCAAGGGACAAGCTTCCATAAGCGTAAGGTCACCAGATCGACCCCGAAGGAAGGTGATCAATCTGGGACCGCAGCAAAGAAAAGTAATGAAATGAGGACCAGCTCGCGAGGCTGGACCCGGGAGATAAGACTCACCTGGAGAAGTAATGTAAAGATGATGAAGATACGGCTAAAATGCTGCGTTCTGAAAGAGCGACAGGAACCAGGCAGCCAACAAGGGTGGGTGGGGGGTGCCGTTGTTGGAATTCAGCCTGAAATGTCCCAAAGTCTGCGCAGCGACGATGCCTACACGCCCTTCTGTTTCATACGTGTCAGGTCTTGATTTATGTGTGGTATCAGACCTTTTTGACCTGGTTCTAGTGGAGAAAAGCGCTCATTTGTTGTTTTTGACTCGGATCATCGACAGAGGCTTGAATTGCTGCTGCCGTTGTCTGTAGGTGAGATTGTTCTGGAGCAGATGCCATCTGTAGGCGTTGTGCCAAATGTTCACACACAGAAAAGTCTCCCGACATCAACAAGAACATCACACCTGAAGAACCTCGAAGAGGTTCAAATAGTTTTTTTTAAAGATGGGGAAAAACTTGTTGTTTTTCTAAACCAGGCAAACATGAGAACAGGGAACAGGATTAGGATATATGGGAAATGGTAAACGGCCTGTATTTGATACAGCGCCTGTTAGAATCCTGGAACCCCCCAAGGTGCTTTACAACACAATCACCCATTCACACACTGGTGGGGATGAGCTACGATGTAGCCACAGCTGCCCTGGAGCACACTGACAGAGGCGAGGCTGCCGAGCCTCCGACCACCACCAGCAGGTAAGGTGGGTTAAGTCTCTTGCCCAAGGACACAACGACAGCGACAGACTGAGCGGGGCTCGAACCTGAAACTTTCCGATTACGGGGCGAGCGCTTGACTCCTGTGCCACACTCTGGGCTCAGAGAATTAGAGACGGGTCAGTAAAAGCATTTCTGCACCTTTCCGAGACTCTGGACGTCTTATTTTCCAGTTGGGAGCTTAGTCGTTGGGATCTCATGATTTTCCTGAGTGGTCCGAGGTTCTCGTACAGCACGAGCCCGCACTTAGCCTAATGTGTGGAATCTTCTGGTGATGTCACCTGTGTGAGAGGTTTCAAAAGGACATGTTCAGCTCAGGGTTGGGTCTCCGCAACGTTATCAACAAACAAGTAAAGGTGTAGGTCCTTTCAGCCATTTCACCCATCCTGGGTTGTGGCTGCAGCAGGAGGGAGTCAGACATTCCTTCCACGATTCTCCTGGGAAATCCCAAAGCATTCCCACACAAGAGAAGATATTCAGCCTACCCAGTTAGTTCTTGGTCTGCTCCAGGGTCTCATCCTAGTTGCAGAAAATCCTCAGAGGAATGTCACCTCAGCAGACTCATTTTGAGGAGAAGCAATGGCATTCCCTTAAGAGGAAGCTCATTTCAGCCACTCGGATCCCAGACCTCGTTCTTTTGTTCACGATCAAATCTTGGAGCCGTAAGTGAGTGCTTGAATGTAGATGGACGGGTAAATCACCGTGACGGACAAAAGAGATGCACTCCATACTTCTGGTCCAGCTCCTGCTTCATCCTACCTCTTCTGCTGGAGGCAGAGGCTCAATATGGAGCCTTGGACTGTTTTCTGGTTGAGAACCATGTCTTCAGATGTAGTGAAGCTGAATCTCATCCCAGGTCTGATATGCCCCGGTGCACACTGAAGGTCAGGTCATCTGCAAAAAGCAGCGATGAGACCTTGATGCTGTTACACCAGACATCGTCCTCTACACACCTCGACGTCCTGTCCATGTTTTTATTAGAAAAAAGCCTAAAGTGAAAAAAGTCGCACTTGAAGAGGTCAGCAAGGTGCAACTCAAAGTAAACAAGTATTTATTTTCATGTTCGGCATTTTGTGCTGTAGGGATCGTGAGGCCTCACTGTTCATAAATCCCATGTAAGGAATGCTGCTAGTGCACTAAGGAACTGTTGTTTGTTGCTTCATTCCGTTTGTTTTCCTAACATCTTCCAGCGCCTCAGTTCTCCCCTCTTGTCCTGTGGTCCTTTCACTTCTCTGCAGGGAGAACACATTGTCCTCGCAGTCTGACTCGATCGATTCCAACCCGTTTCAAGGATGAGTCATTTTCACTCTCAGTATTTCCCCTCTGTTCGTCTCCTGCTGTACTTTCTTTGTCTGTACTTGAATAATTACCTGATGGCTTCCTGTCTTCAATCAGGTCAGATTAAGACTCACGTCTCAGAGTTTGTGTCCTTTCACACACATGAATAGAAGAGTAGAGGACATCATCTGGGCAAATTTGAGACTGAAAAGAAACGATTGTGTTGCTGATGTAAAGCCGGCGGTGGAAAGGAGGAGAGCGTCTTCTCAGGTCAGGTTCACAAACAGGTTTGTCTTCAGCTTATCCTATTAAAGGTGTGGAACAATGAAAAACACCTTGTTTTTGATTCTAAAGCCTGATTTATGCTTCTCCGTCTGCGTCAGTGCGGAGACACGCAACGCCATTAGCCGTCCTTGCGTAGGGCTCCGGCAGGCACGCAAGTACGTACGGAGTCGAGCCCACTTTTTTAACATCCGTCGAACGAGACGGATTACGCAAGCTTGTGATTGGTCAGGACACCGCTGTTGTTCACAGCGCCGCCATTGCAAAGAGAGCCGATGATAACTAGCGGCAGACACAGAGAAGTTTGAAGAAAACCTTGCGAAAAAACTCTAAAAATATGAATGTTTCATCCTCCCGTGACTGGAGGAGTGAAAAGATGCGCAGCAAGTGTTTTATTTGTGGACTGAAATGACAGGAAACGTGGGTTTAGAGGTGGGGAGCG